CAATCAACGATTATGATTTTCGTAAATTAAACTCATTAATTAATTATTAATTTATAATAAATGATAATCGTTGATTGACGAAAATCAACGGTTATTATATATGGTTGTAAGAGGTTGTAAAAAAAAAAAATTGTAAGTATAACCTTCCTCATTTTTTTTAGTTAAAATAAATATTTTCTAAGATAGACGGAGCGAGTGCAGTTTACTGCACGCGCTTCAGCGAGTGGACAAAAAGAGGAGAGACAAACGTTGGAAAAGACACGTGGCGTTGGATGTCGGGTGAAGATGTTAGGATCACGTGGTTTGAGATGAGATGTCTATGTAGTGACACGTCATCATGCCAGTTGTCGACAGTTACGTCGAAATATCTGGCCACGTTTATCATCCCCAACCCACGAGACTCCTGCCCTTCTGCCACTATCATGCGCCCCACCATAATTTTTTTTAATGCACATATTAATTAACTAAATTATTAAATAAGTACGTTGTACTTCATTTTATTTAATTTATTTATGTATTTGTGGTTGGAAAGAAGACTTTTTCTTTGGACAATCATGTTAGGATATTCATTTCAAAATTTATGTCAGATTTTTTATTTTTACGTCGCTTTAAAAATAATTTTTTTTAAAAGGATTTGATATTTGTTATTTTAATTTTTAAATGACATAAGTTACGTCATTTTAAGAAAAAGATAGACACAAAAAATGAAAATCATGGGAGAGAAAGTGGGTGACTTTTTTTTAATTTAAATTTTAAATAAAAAAATATTTTTGTGTGTCTATCTCTCTCTTAAAATGACACAACTTTATGTAATTTAAAGTGATACAACTTTATGTAATTTAAAGTGACATACATTTTTCTGTTTTTATATCATTTTAAATTTTTCTCTTTTTAAAAATACAGTTATTTTATAAGGTTATTTGAATAGTAATATAATTAATTTTACTAATGTAAAATAATGTATTTTTACAATTTAAGTTAAAATCAATTATATTATCAAATTTTCTTTTATTAAATAGCTATATTATAACACCTATAATTAGATTAAATGTTCTTATACAAACTATGTGTATAAAACTTTACATTATTTTAAAATTATTTAATATTTTGATATATGTTAATATTAACATAATATGCTTAAAATATATTAAATAAAAATCACTTAACTATATTCTTATTGTTATTAATCTTTAACAAAACATAACGTAAATAATTACAATGCCAAATAGTTATAATTTAGTGATTTGTTTGATAGAAACTAAAATTTATATAAAATTATTCGATAGCATATGTAATTTGTACTTTTTTTGGTCAAAATGTAATTTGATACTTTAATCTTTAATTGATCTTAGTTCTCAATACATTTTATTTGGTATTTATTTCATGATAAGTATACTTATCATATATAGCATATCAAAATATATCAGACACTTATTAACTCACAGGCCATGATTTACACTTAATATAATATTCTTAAGCAAAAATAGAGTAAAAATTAATTCAAAGTGCGTATCAGAGAGCTGAAAGTCCTATTTGTTAAATGAGACTATAAAATGATGCTGTAATCAAATTTTTTCAAACGAAACAATTTATATATGATTTTAAATTTTGAAAATCATTTTGTACTAATAGTAAAATAGACTGCTATATTGTACTAAAAAAAATAGCCTGCTATTGATATATGGATTGTGTTATACATATTATCATTTTTTCTTATCACCTCTTACTATTAATCTTGTTATCATTATATCAAAATCAAATTAACATTTACAAAATAACATAAAGTGAGAGCCATTAATTTGATTTTAATCAAACGATAACAAAATTAATAGTAAGAGGTGATAAAAAAATAAGTATATCCTCAAAAGAATAATTTTTAACATGTATCTTAATTAAGAAAAAAGATATTTTTTCAAAATAATTTATTATACCTTTCTTCACTATTTACTTAAAAAATAAAATATTATTTTTCTGTAAATTTTAAAATATTAAATATTTATACTTTTAAATTTAATACTTTTATTTTTAATTATTACTTTTAATGTTTACTTTTTTAAATACTTATAAATATAATAACAAAATATTAGTAACCAGTCTTTAAGACATTAGATAGCAAAAAAAGTATTATTAAGAAAAAATTGACTCTCATATTATATGAGAGAATAAGAAAAAAATCTATCATTCACTCATATATTAGAGGATAGAGAAAAAAAGCATTGAGTCTCACATCTAATTTATGTGTGCACGACAGAAATTTTTTCTTAATCCATTTCTCTATTATTTATTAGTAATAAATAAAGGAACTTATTAAACTTGTATTGTTGGAGATATCTCGTTAATGTCGTAGAGATAAATATGTGGTCTCTTTAATTTTGTTTTTATTTTTAATGTTAAAAAAGAGCCCCATGTGTTTATCTATATGACATAAGACAAAACATCTCCAAACAATATGAGAAAATATTTTTTCATGAATAAAATTTAAATTGCAGCACAACTAAATTTTTTAATGTTAAAAATGAAGATCGTAGGGAAGCTTCTTTTATTAAAAAAATTAGTACAGTTGAAATTTGAATATTCTACGAAGAAGAAATTATGAGATCGACACATTTATTAAGGCACGTTTAGCATACCTACAATTACCAACCAATGCCAATTACTGTGTGAAGATGATAAATAGCTTATTAGGCTTCTGAAAAGCAAGTTCATTCGTTCACACCACTCCGACCAATACCGTGTCAAACATTCTTAGAAAAAGAATAACAAGAATACCAAAACAAAAGAACCATTTTATATTCATGTCCTATTATCTTCGAAAACAAAGCAAAATATGTAATTGCTTTGTTTATAGTTTAATGTCCTATAGTTAATTTGGAGGTGCTTGACACATTGCACTTAGACATGCCTGTATTAATTATGGTTAACGAATAAATCAAAGTTTGATTTAAACAACAAACAATATAATACACATTCATTCATTTACCGAATTTGGGTCCAACTCGTAACTGTGTACTTAATAAGATAAACTTTTAAAATTACTTCAAAGCCTCAAATCCATATAGGGTTGTCATTGTCTCATTCATCAATCAACAATCCCTTGACTTGTTAAATGTCAGAAATAAATTCTTTGCATGTTTTAATAAGAATTGTTTAAAATAAAATGTACGAAATTTAAGTTATATTACAACATTATAACTAACATGACTTATTTATAAACTAATAATTAGTAAAAAAAAAAAAAAAACTTTGCAACCATAATATACATTGTTCATACACGTGTGGGGTCAAGTTTAATAAATACTAAATGGTAAGAATTAAAACTAAATATTAGACTGATTTTCAAGTTTGACCAATTTATTTATTTTTTACTACAAATCTATAAGAGTTAAGGTTGAACTGTAGAACATTTTAACATACGGCGCCTCCATCATGAGAAAAACGTGTAAAACTCTACTCTCTAAAATTGCTTGAAATAAGTGAAATCTAAAGTTGAAAATTTCAAGTTTCAGTTACAATTACAATGTAACAAAAATAAAAATAAAAATTATGAATAGTATTAAAAAAAGGTGGGTGTCTAGAACAAAAAAAGTGGAAATTTTATTCAAAATCAAATACAAGATACTACTTACTCGGAAGATGAAAATATAAGAATTAAACTGAGGTGAATTTTTTATTTATTTAATAGATGATATATATTTTCTTCACCAAGAAAAAGAAAGATGTTTGATGTGTAACAATAATAAGTGAAGAATAGGAAAGCGTGTCTAAGAGAGAGTGGGAAAATGAAGAAAGAGATGGTAAAGTAGATAGGAGAATATGCGCAAATGATTGGTGGGTGGGGTATTCGAAGCCATCTTAAGGGCATATTAGGATATTCTCTCTCTGCGTGGAATCAACTCAATATATATATATATATATTTTTTCTTTTTCTCTCTAACTTATTATTCTTTGCCATTATTGAAGTAAACGCTTTGTTTATTTACAATGATAGTCATAGGGGATGATGCTATCACCAAATATCTCTAGCAAAAGTTTGGAGTAACGTAATACAATTTTCACTTTACCGTGTTGATTATGTCCGCTATACATGAGAAAAAAAGTGTTCATATTACAACATATGATTATTTTACAACCAAAATTTTGTAGGTGCAAATACAAGGTTTGAAAATGTGTAAATAATTTTCTGAACTTTAATTACTTAACAAAATTATATGTCCAATCAACCATTAAATTTAATCTGCTAATAAGTTTAAGTTAAAGGTAAAAATTACAAAATCATTAAGATTGATATAATGGTGAAAGATTTGGATAATTTGAATGAAATTATAAGTTTAAATCTCAGTACCATCATTATATTAAAAAAAAAATATAAATTGTAATTGGTCCTTTTTTTTTTTTTTTTAAGAATTTAACATTGATCTATTATAACTACTTAAAGGGGTCGAGCTTGTATTTAATGTTAATTATGAAATTGTGCTTGATGATAATAAATTTAATGTTTTCAAATTTAAAAAAATTTCAAAAATTAAGGTGGAAAATTATTTATTGTTTTAACTATTATTTAATTAAGAAAATATTTATCATATTAATTAATATTTATATTATATAAGGGGAAAAAGATGTAATAAGTGGGGATGATCAAGATTTGTCACGTGAATCAACCCCGCGAACAATTCATGAGAATATTGACTACGAGCAATTTAAGAGAATATTACTTTATTATCATTAAATTATTATTGTAGAAAGTTATTACACAAATAAATAATCCAAATCAAATTTTGGAAACGGATGCAAACATGATAATTTCGTGTTGGTAAAAAAATTAAAAAAGGAAAGAAAAACAAAAAGAAAGGAAAGAAACTGTAGACGCAGACAAAAAAAAAAAAAAAAAAAACTACTACTACACGGTAGAGAGAGAAAATGTCCATGCAAATGAAAAAAAAAAAAAAAAAAAACCGAAATTTTTGTCCTTTTAAATTGTTTTCTGCTTTGCAATTCTCATCATCATCATCATTTTTTTTTATTCATTTCTAATTATTTAATTTATTTTATTTTTGCGTGGATGCAGTGGCCCAAGCTTTGGCTTTCTTCTCTTTCTCTCTGCTTCTTCTGACAATCTCATATTCACTTCCTTTTCATCTATAGAAACCAAAATCTGCTACTGCTTCTCCATTCCCCAAAACCAATCTTCTTCTTGATTCCTCAAAAAGCTGCTATTTTTTTTTTTCACTCTCTCTCTCTCTATTCTCTGATTTAGATTTCACTCTTATTGGTTTTATTTTTTATTTTTTATTTTTGGTTTGAATTTTGGGTTTGATTGTGTATGTAAACAGAATTTTATGTGTCCCATTGGTGTAAAGATTTGAGCTTTTTGTTGTACTTCTTTTTGGGTGTGTGTATTCAAGAGCTTCTGTTTGATCAAAGAGAAGTTCTTTTTGTTTTGTTTTGAATTTTCTGCTGGTGAACTCGTTGGAAAAACCCGAGCTTTTTTGAGGCTCGGGATCTGAATTGTAATGGAGTTATCAAAGGAGAAGCTGAAGAGCAGTGTGGTTGTTGAAGATGGAGCTGACCCAAAGTCTTACTATATGCAGAAGTTCAGGCTTTATGAAACTCGCTCGGTAAATATCTGATATCAATGATGCATGCATTACTGTTTCAGTATATTCTGACCATGATCTAGATGTGGAATTTTTTTGTGCTTCTCTTTGTTTGTTGCTTTAGAATGTTGATTTGTTTTGGGTACAGTTTTTTTTTTTTTATCTCTCTCTTTCTTTTCCCATTGTCAAATTCATGTTCATGCACCATGTACATATGTTCATTCACAAATCATGATATTTTTCCATTGGTCAAAGGAATCGAATGGGTGTGTGAAGATTGTTTTTTTTTTCTATGTTTAGTTTTTCAATTGGGATTTAAATTCTTCTCATCATGAAGGTGGGCTTGATGAATTATTGTTGTGTATCTGGATTCTCATGGTTTTTGCAAGAACACACTGATCCAGGCTTCCTGCTTCTGCTTGGCTTGAATCATTATAATTCATTTAGGATTGTGTCTGTGTTCTTCATGATGCATGTGATGGCAAAGAACAGCGCCAAATGATTTTGCAAAACAAATGAATTATGGTTTCTTAAACTCCACTGTTTTCTGATTATATTTACTGACTATTTTTACCTTGGCTTTTTGTTTATCCCTCCCCCCCCCCAAAAAAAAAAAAAAAAAATTTTGGTTTATTTACTTGTGTAATGGATGATTGAACATCTAAGCATTGTTATCCACTTTCAGTGTTTTGGAACTCAATTCATGCCTCACTGTGAAAGCTGTTGAATGTTTATGGAGGGCTTTCAACTTCACTACTGAGTTTTTCTGAAAATGGAAACTAGGGTTTTTGTTTTTGATTTTTTTTTGTGTTTTTCTTTTCTTTCATCAACATCATGCATCTGGTCTTATATGTTGTGCCTTCAGCTTTAATTTTAAAATTTTATATTGCCGACATTTGTTATCGGAAGGATGGCCATTGCTTGTTCTTTCTTGTCATATTCCCCTCTCTTCGGCAAGATCGAGTAGCTACGTCAATATACCCACTAATTTCAATAAAAATGGGGCGAAGGCCAAAAATAGAACTGGAGCGGTTGAATCGAACTGATGTTTTCTTCTTTAGGAAATGAGATCTAAAAGGAAAATTTTGATAAATTCACAACCTTACCACTCTTTTAATTAATCTCCTTGCTGTTGTGTCATCTTCATTTATCACCTCCTTAAGTGAGAAGTGTATTGATTACTTGGCTGCAGCCGCCGATTTGGACAATAAAACACCACTTGCCTTGCTCATTTGATATTGCCTAGGTATTGTGTGCGCAACATGTGCAGTTGTACATTGTTTTGCATGCACAACATGGGTATTAGGCAATACTGGAAATTGGAGGAAGCTTAAAACCCGCCCTCAAAATCTTGGCCAAATAAGACTTTCTCATTTGACACTTAAGGCCAAATCATGTTTCTGAGTGTATGTAAAAAGAAATTTAAGTTTGAGTTTCTGACATTTTATTGCAATGCACACCATGAGCCCTTGATGTAAGTGTGCAATACACAAGAAAAAATGACTGCTATGCAAGACTCATGGTGATATCTGTATTTAATAAATACAGATATCACTAATATCCTAATTACCTGATTTTGATTACCTTATGTACATAATCCGCTAGATACTATTTACATAGTTACTACAAATACCAACACTCCCCCTCAAGTTGGAGCATCTAGGTCATAATATATCCCCAAGCTTGTTACATATACAAGTTATTCGACGACCTCTCAAAGACAGTTTAAACATTTGCCAGTTGATCATACGAGTGAATAAAGTTAGTGTTGATGTCTTCGGATAATATCTTCTCTCTAATGAAATAACAGCCAATCTCGATATGTTTGGTCCTCTTATGAAACACTAGATTGATGGCGATGTGTCATGCAGCCTGGTTATTACAAACTAATGTCTTTTTTTGTAGCCTTTCCAAACTAGAGCTTTTTGAGCAGTTGTTCTAGCCAAATAAGTTTGTTAGTGGTTGAGGGCCTTGAGGCGATGGTTCGATATCCTGTTTCAATACTTATCTTGCAAGCACATTTTGCTTTTTAATCTTCCAGTATACTAGATTATCCTCGATGATTAAATAATAACTAGAAGGTGAACCTTCTATTATTAGGGAAACTCGCCCATTCGGCATTTGATTATCCATCAATCTGAGTATGACCTTTGTTCCATAGGTAAGGTCTTTACCAGGAGCACCGTTGATGTACTCTAATATACAAATCACGACATTTCAGTGTTCAGTGCAAGGTGAATTGAGGCACTAACTTATTATGTTGACTGCAAATGAGATATCCAGACGAGTAATCATAAGATATTTTAGTGTTTCCTAACTACCCTTTTATATCTTATTGGATCCAAAAGTGGCTCTCACTATTTGATACGAGTTTAGTGTTTGGGTCCATTGGAGTATCCACCGGCTTTGCATTCAACAGACCGGTTTCTTCAAGAAGGTTTGTAGCATATTTCTTGAGTGAAATTACAATAGCATCCTTGGATTGTGCAGCCTTGATTCTCAAGAAATATCAAAGTTTGCAAAAATCTTTGGTCAGAAAGTGATAACAAAGATACCGTTATATCTGAGTGATGCCATGATGATCTCTTCCAATGTTAACAATGTCCTCGATGTATACAACAATCAAATAAATGCATCCTTGAGCTGAATTTCGGTAAGAGACAAAGTAAACAAACATCAAAGGAGGGCCTTAATAGGTGGAACACATCGGATTTGTGGAGAGGAGGCCGTGGCAAGTGTGGCATAATTGGTGGCTTCTTTGAAGAAGACAACACACAAATCCTTCATGTGGTGCATGAGGGCGCATTTGGAGCCTATTTAGAGTGGGTGTAATGGGGATGGATTTAACATCGAGAGATGCTCCTAATTTGTGGGTTACTGGCCAACGAAGACTGCCACCAACTGCAGAAAGTAGTGGTCGGCGATAGTAGGAGCTGTGGCGACCGGAAGGAAGATACAATTAGAGAGACTGAAACCAAAAGGAAACACTGTTTCCAGAAAAAGGTTTGTCATCAGTTGGAAGTGGGTCCATCGGGTAGGCACATAATAGGGTTACCTCTCGTTAGGCGTGCTTTGATACTATGTTAAGTCAGGAGAAAATGAGAGACTTTGATGAAATCCGTGTGTCTCAGTTGCAGAATGGGATCTGAGTTATACAGTTGAATAATATAACTATATAATAAATGCAGATATCACTAGTATCATAATCACCATAATTAACTGATTCTTACTATCCTATTTACATAATAATCAACAAGATATTATTTACTTAGGTACTGCAATTACTAACACTTTATTTCGCCATACGTCATGTTGTCAATTGGATATAAATTTACTTGTTGCATTTCTGAAGTTCTGCATTAGTGTTTAATTGAAGTTCCTAGTAGAATTTTTTGTTTCATTTCTTTATAAATGGCACTAATTGCTGAGATTTTTTTTTCCTTTCAAGAATATTATCTTTTTCACTTTTGTTTGTGCACATAATATAGCTACAGAGCACTATTGCTGTTTTCTTACCATTTCTCTGTGCTCAGAAATTTTTTATGATAGGAAGAGACAAAAGCAGAACAATTTGGAGGGTCTTAAAGATTGACAGATTGGAGCGATCTGAATTAAATATCATTGAAGATATAACAGTATACTCAGAAATTGAGTGTTGTGACCTTCTGCGGCGGATACATGAAGGAAACAAGTCAACAGGGGGACTTAAATTTGTAACAATGTGTTATGGAATCATTGGTATTTTCTATCTTCTATATAAGAACAAAATTGTTATTATTATCGCTGATGTTGTTTACCACATTAATCATCAGAATAAATCCATCATCTTATGATATTTTCTTTTGATTTAGGATTTATCAAATTTCTTGAGCCATACTACATGATGCTTATAACAAAACGAAGGAAGATCGGTACAATATGTGGGCACACTATATATGCTATCACAAAGAGCGAAATGGTTCCTATTCCACATGCCACTGTGCAATCCAAAATGGCATGTTCTAATGATGAGAAAAGGTCTTTAGTAAATTTTGCATGTAATTGTAATATGTCTATGGTACATTTACAGAGACATATGAGAGTAGCATTGAGAACTATACCCTATCGATTGTACTTAGATGAGAATTATGTTATGAATTACGTTTTTTTATTTAAGTTTATTATATTGTGTAGTGAAAACGTTCTGTTAGAGCATCGTATTTTACTTGTGTTGAAATTCTACATTTTAGAGTTTTTCTTTGTACTATATATGTTGATTGTCTCACTTCAGTGTGTATGCACAATGTGGGCTTCCTCAGGTCAACCTTCTCATCTTTCTGTGGTACTCTCTAATTGTCTCTTTTGAAATAGAATCAATAATGCCTCTTCCAGATTTCGGAGTCCCGTAATATGTATAGTGGATACCTCCTTTGTTGTTCTTTTCATGTTGTACATTTATTGTCAGTTCATTTCCTGTAAATGTACAGGGGCAATCTTCATTGCTGTTATGATGTAAATGTAACTTTTTGAGTGAGACAAGGTATCGCCGGGGTTTCAATTGGGAGATCACTTTCTTTTCATTTTTTAGTACTTTTGGTTAGAGTTGTTGGCTTCATTAGTTGTTTTTATGTCCATTTGTTTTACTTTTATTCCTGTATATAATAAACCATCTTATTAATGGGCTTTGTCTTTCTTCTGTTGTGACTTAGATACAAGAAGCTTCTATGCAGTGTGGATCTTACGAAGGACTTCTTTTTCAGCTACTCATACAATGTCATGCTTAGTCTTCAAAAGAACTTATCTGGTCATAATATTATGGGACAATCACTTTATGAAACACTCTTTGTTTGGAATGAATTCTTAACTCGTGGAATCAGGAATAATCTCCAGAATACTTCTTGGACAGTTGCCTTGGTGTATGGATTTTTTAAACAGGTACAAACGAAGTCTCCTTTATTGGTTAATAGATATGTTTGTGAGGGATTTGTAAAGGTAACTGATGTAGCTAACAGTAATGCTAGTGACTTGTATAAGTGTCTTTGGTTCTTGACTTCAAGTTTTCTATATCTACAGTGAGGTTAACCTTTGATTTATGCTTTGAGAACCTGACACCTCTTGGAATTAATTCTCTTGTTTCGATAATGTGAAACTAATCTTACGTGCCAGCATTTTATTTGATAGAGTTAACACTGCAGTCATTAAACCATAATTTATCAGTGTTTCAGTTGTCTTATATTGGAAAATTCATTCCTCAAGACCACACAGGTTTGATTAACTTAATATAGGAAGTATTTTTAACATCTTATTTCTTTTTTTAAGACATCTAACATCTTAATTTTGGGTAACTTTTAATGGTTCCTGTGATGCTGACTTCAAGCCTTCCTTCGATAGCGCCCAAAAAAATGCTAGTATTATCTATCATCAGATAAGATTTGGTCTTTTGTTGTTTTCAAGTGTTCATTTCATTGTGTGGCGTGCAGGTCAAACTTTCCGTATCTGGCCGTGAGTTCAACTTGACCATCATTGCTAGGCGCTCACGGCATTATGCTGGGACCAGGTTTTTACTTTTTGAGCCTTTCTTGAGTTTTTGATAATTGAAATTACATTCTATTTCACATCTTTGTACTTGTGGTCCGAGATGAAATGCATCTGTTTATGTTTGCACCTATATTTGTCTTAATTGCTTGAGTTTCTAATTGAGGTATGGCTGCCATTCAGTATGGTTTTTCTCCAAGGACTTAAATCCATAAAAGTCATGCAAACAGGGAGATTTATCACCAAGATACCTTTTTTTATTTTAATTTCTGTTCACAAATTTCTTGTCTTTGTTTATTTTCTGTTTCCAGACATGTTACTTGGTTTCTCTATCTTGTGATGCAGATATTTGAAACGAGGAGTGAATGAAAAGGGTAGAGTAGCTAATGATGTTGAGACAGAACAGATAGTCTTTGCAGATGCTCATGATGGATGCCCAATGCAAATCAGTTCTGTGGTGCAGATCAGGGGTTCAATCCCTCTGTTCTGGTCTCAGGAAGCCTCTCCATTGAATATAAAACCTGACATCATATGTATGATGCGGAAACAATTTTCCTTTGTTTGTTACTTTCTAGTACTGTAATTTATGCTGACAGTTCATTTTGGTTCGTTTTTTCTAGTATCAAGGAAAGATGATGATTTTGAAGCAACAAGACTTCATTTTGAAAATCTTGTCAAGAGATATGGAAATCCAATTATTATATTGAACTTGATTAAGGTATGCTTTCCACATATGCAAGGAACCGTCATGCATGCTCGATTTCTTTGTCTCATATCCAAACTAAATTTTTTTCTACCTTATACATTCTGTTGTCAATTGTGTTTAAGACACGTGAGAAGAAGCCTCGAGAAACTATTTTGCGAGCCGAGTTTGCAAATGCTGTTAGGTCCATTAATACAAATTTGAAAGGGGATAATCGCCTGAGGTTCCTTCATTGGGATTTGCATCGGCACTCAAGATGGTAACTTGCTCTTTCCTTTTTTGTTCAACCACTACAGGTTTTTTCTTGGGTGTTATTTTGACATTTTTTGATCAATCACTTTTAGCAGCAAAGCTACCAATGTGTTGGCACAACTGGGAAAAGTGGCTGCATATGCATTGAAGCTAACTGGCATCTTCTACAGTCCAGTGACACCGAATTTGAGGCTCGAGGGATTTTTTCAATATTCCTACTCTGAGTAAGTACCATAGCAGCACATTTTGACACTGTTTTCTGTTATACTAATTAGGCAAGTTGAAATTTCACTTGATAATTTTAGAAATTGCTGATACAATTGCCTACTTATTAATTTTTGTATGTTTAGATGATTTATTACATGATATACCTTGTGTTAGGGAATATCCAACAATATTTTCTACTTGTTCTTTATAATGGTTTTGCCTTGGAGTAATTGTTAGTAATTTTATTTGACATGGTTCACCTCTCCCAATTGCTTAAATTGATAGGTGGAGATTCGTGAATGTGATCTTTCTTTCTTTCTATTTTATTTTTTAATATCGTCACACGCCCCTCATGTCATGGAGTAACCACTCGTTCATATAAGCTTTGATACCATGTTATGTACTAACTCTCCAAAAACTTAAGTTGTTAGGTGAAGATTCATAAATGGTATTTATATGTAGCATTTATTGAAGTGTTTTTTTTTTTATAAATGTAATGCAGGAATAACAATGTCACTGATCACTCTGTCACAGAGCGAGATAGTATGAACAAGGAAAATGTTGATAAAGAAACAGAAGTTGGCAATTGTTATTATAGTGGTGATGAGATCAAAGATTATAGTGTCAAACCCCAGATGCTTCAAGCAGGGGTCTTGAGGACTAATTGCATAGACTGTTTAGATCGTACCAATGTTGCGCAATATGCTTATGGATTAGCTGCACTAGGACATCAACTACAAATTTTAGGATTTATGGAATCCCCAAATATTGATCTTGATAACCCTTTGGCAAAGGAATTAATGGAAGTCTATGAGTCCATGGGCGACACATTAGCCTTTCAATATGGGGGTTCTGCAGCGCACAATAAGGTAATCATTCTACCTTCTGGTTTTGGACTTTATGGTTTATGGAATGTAATATGGGATCAGAAATTCTGTGCGCATAAAGATTTTGTTTACTGATGTGCTTTCAATGTATAATTAAGTTTGCCCTCACTCATCAGCATGGCATAGTTTGCCCTCAAGTACATCATGTCATCATTCAGCACGCAACTCTACCCATCTCCAATTCATCCCCGATCCCTTGGCATGTGCTAGGAGTGGGGCGTGGGAGATAACTCGTGGCATAATTGTTTCCAATTACCTCCTCAACCTGAGTCAAGGACCACTAATTCTGTGATAAAAATGCTTGGTAGCTCAACTTACTTTCATGCTCCTTGCAGCCTCTTACATGCACCCAATCTAATGAAAAAAAGAACGATTTTGCAGTATGAAGCCATTTAATTCTCCCAAAATAATGAAAAAATTATGGTGTGGATCCGGGGCTTGACCTTTTGGTTCAATGATAGTGCATGGCCTGAAAGATTTATTTTATCAAGCAGAGTGGAGTTGGTACTTGAAAGCGATGGGTTGGATGCTTCATTTCAATGATATATGGTAGTTTCCTAGTAAATGAAGATGTTTAATTAATTGTGTACTCATCAATATACATGCCAATAAATAGAACCTTGTACACCTTTTGCTTATGTACTCCTAGGTTTTACCCAGTTTTTATGAGATGAGATATCCAAGTGTGTTCTTGAATCTTGATTAATTTACTATAAGAGACCATCACAATATTCCCAGAGTTCTGAAGTGGAAATGAGGAAATCTAAATTTGCCTTGTCCTATTTTCCATGCATGGGAGTTTTGTCTGATTACTGCTCATTCCTTTTGAGTATTTTGCAAATTGGTCTTGCTATTCAGATATTTTCTGAGAGAAGAGGTCAATGGAAGGCAGCAACACAATCCCAGGAATTTATTCGAACCCTGCAGCGTTATTACAACAACACATATATGGATGGAGATAAACAAAAAGCAATTAACATGTAAGTCAAATAGTCCCTTTTTTTTAAAATCTTATTTACATAATTGTTTTCATAGGTGAGTGCAAGCCTTAGAGCAACAGTAAGGTTGCTCCTCTGTATCCAGAAGGTCACGGGTTTGAGTCTAGGAAACAACTATTTAGCGAAAATGTAAGGGTAAAGCCATGTACAATTGACCCTTACCCCTATCCTCGCAAAGTCGGGGAGCCTTGTACATTGGGGTTTGTCATTTTTTTTTAAAAAAAAATGTTTTCATATGTAATAGGATTTAAAGTGAACACTAGTTATATATTTGTGGTAGTTGCATTAGAATGAATTAGTTACTATCGTGTTTGATATTATTTTGGTCAGATTCTTGGGGCATTTTCAGCCACAACAAGGAAAAGCGGCACTGTGGGAGCTAGATTCAGATCAACATCACACTGTTGGGAAACGTGGCCCCTGTTTAGCAGATGACAAATTTAGGTAGAGTGTATTATTCAATGAAACAAGTTTTGGTCATTTTCATTTAATGAATCTTTTGAAGAGGGGCTTATACTTAAAACCAAGAAAGATTTTATGACCTGTAAATACTAAAATTTCAAGAAGTTAACGATATATTAGAGCTTTTGATATTTTCTGTCTAATATCAGTTGTGTGCTTTTCTATGAGAAATGAATCCTCTCAATTGAGATTTTCACATGACAAGGTAATGTCAAGAGAGAGATGCAAAGGCAGTAAATAGTGGGACCCTGTTTAAGGTCTTTGTACCTATCTCTCTCCTGACATAACCTTGTCATGTGAAATTCTCATGTGAGGATCCATTCTCACTTTTCTATTTAAATCTGTCTTTAGCTTTGAGCTTAATCATCAAATTGAAAATGTTGTTCAAGCATATAGATAGATGTTGATGATTTTTGATTTGAAGAATGCAGAATGACTTTGTTATTTTGGTGCTTCACATCTGATGATCTTAAATTTATGAAGCATCACAAGTAGTTTGAGGTAGTGTTGGTACTGAAAGCATTTCTTGTATTTTTCCTGACTCTCTACTCAAATCTTATTCTACTGTGATTACTTCGTTTATCCCCTCAAGTTGCAAACAGATTTACTACTATAATAGCTCAATACTTTCTTTAGATGGTCTTGCTCATTAAATTGAGATGGTGTTAGCTTTGACTTAAGATCTATGTAAGGAAAATGTTATGTAGGCAAAGTGTAATCTCATATTCCTCCTTTTTCGAGGATGAAAGCAAATGAATACTAGTTATCCTTTGTCAGATGATTGACGAAGTTATTCCTTTATTTTGTTAGATCAAGTATTAAAAGATCACTATCAGATGGCAACATTGTCGGTGAAAGTGATACTACAGTTAGGACCAATTGTCAGCACCCATCTGAAATACCTGATAAGCGTCGTCTTTCAGAGTCTACTCCAGACATCTTTACTTGTGGAAGTGCCATTTGTCATTGCAGGTATGCTTAATTGGCATTTTGCATTCTGTAAACTCTGGTAGCTACTTATATACTGGGGGTTTACTGACTAGCAGAGTTTCTTTGCTAAATACAACTTTTCTGATTTCTAAAAGAAGGAAAGTTGCTTCTGAAATTAAGCAATATGATGTAACTTCTTTAAAAGGCCAGCTGAAATTTTAACAATACCATAGGCTTTAAGAGCTACTGAGCTAGACAGAACCAGGTTTCAGACTCAAATTGTGCTCGACACAATTATGATGAGCTTTCTGGGGTCAGGAGCTGGAGATTCTGGGGGGATCGTGTAGTCGATTGGGACATGTGTTATAAGGACTGTGAAGGGGGATGGATTAGGCACATGGAATCTGGTGTCTAAAAACATTTCCTTTTGGATGGAGGAGAATTGTGGGAATGGGAGGGGACAGAGAGTTTTCAAGCAAACCTCTCAAATAAGGGATTATTGTGCAATCCTCAAAACTCTCCCTTCTTATTATTGTTAGAATATTTAGAAGATATCTCTTATTACCTTTATTTATCTTAGAATGAAAAGAGCATCTTAGATGATCTCTTAGGAGTGAGTGATTTTCAATTATATTTCATGATCTGTTCCCTTATTAGGATTAATAGTCTAGTATTAATATAAATAGGGGTTAGTGCTTTGCACTTTGTATCAATATACATGAGAGAATTCAGTGTCTTTTATGTCTCTTTTTCTCTTCCTCTACCTAAATCCCTGTAATTTCAACAATTATGAACATTTCAAAGCTCCTCAATTTGGAGTCTCCCATATCTTCCCCCCCCCCCCCTTTTTCCCTTCTCTCTCTCTCTTTTCTCCTCACTTCCCTTTGGTTTCTTCCTTTCCAACTTCCACTTTAGTGGCTAAATGGTTATAGTGCTTTCCTTTTTAATCTCAATATCTTTGACATAAGTATACAATTCTTCATAAAGGGTAACATTTGGGGTCAATGTTACTCACGAGGGTCCTTAAAGTTCATTACATAGGTATACGATATATCCCTCTTTTTATCCTTTGCTGAAGAACTGGCTCACAGCTTGCAATTTCGGGAGGATGTGTGGCTTAGGGAAATCCTCGTTCTTTGATCCCTTTCCTTACCTGATTCACATTTCTACTCTGTATTATGCTTCAAAATCTTGTTTTTTCCAACTAATGGGTCACTTTCTTGTATTTTTTCTCTTTTGGTGCCTTAATGATTGAGAGACATATGAATTAGTTTCTTTGATGGGTATTCTGGATACTTTCTTTATTTCTAATACACCAGATGTTTTTTTTAGATTCTTCAGGATCCTTTATGTGTAGCAGTTACCAGGCCAGGCCTTACAAGTGTCAGCCAAAAGTAGGGCTGGCTATTTGGGCCTGGTTATATTGGGCTAGCACTTTTAGGCTGCAACCAGACCTGCCCAATTACTTTCAAGCTGAAAGTAGATCACCTTTGGGCTGGGACCGGGCCAACCTGCTCAATCTTTTTTTGGGCTGAGATCAGGCTAGCTTGATCACTTTCAGGCTAGAATTGGGCTGGCCTGATCATTTCAGGCCGAAATTGGACCATCCAGCGCGCTCACTTTTGAAGTTGACATTGGACCGGCAGCCAACGCATTACTTTTCTGGCTGCAATTGCGGCCAGCCAGCTCAATCACTTTCAGGCTGGAGTCAGACCATCTAGCCCATCACTGTTTAGTCTGATATGTTTTATAGTTTGATAGTACGTTTATTGGTATCATACAGGCAGTTATATGGGAGAATGGTTAAGGACCAACATTGTGACAGTGATCACATTGGTTTTGATGAACATGGAGATGCATGCGACTGCTCCAATTTCCTTGATGTGGACTGGCTTTCTTCTTCTGGGAATTCTTGCGAAGAGGAATTACTTGAAAGGTAGTTCTAAAATTTTGATTAGTACTCATTTACCTATGCCATCTTCTTGTTACTTTTCTGTCACTTGATGATTAAAAAATATGGTCTTTCTTCACCATTGGCTTTATCCAATCCTAATCAAAGGTAGAGAGGCATATGTTGAATTTTTGGTGAGAGAATGAGAAGAATGCTTATATCATAGCATGAGCATATTTCAATTACTTTGGGAGGTTCATCTATGAATTAAAAAATTGATGAGGAACGAGGACTAAAATTCTGTCAGCTTTTTGTTTATGCAATACTCAGATCTCATGCCAATATGGGAAGCAATATTTTGACATTGGAAGAGAAAATAAAAAGGGAAGGAAAGCATTTTAACCAGAGCTTAGCAAAAGTTAACGAGTCTAGCCGGTGGTATATCTTGAAGCCTTCATTCAACTCCTTCAATTAGCATATTAGTGAAAGGGTTTTATCTGTCTTGAGAATTTTCTTGAATTGTAATAAAATGTTAACCTCGGGTTTTATATTGAAGTGAATCCTTAAGTGAAATTAGGAGAGCTTGAACTTGAATTTCATTTTTGGAGCATGAAAGTGAATGGGGAAGGGCTTAAGAGACATTTTTTTTTTTTAATGTAATTATTTGGTTAAGGTTTCTAAATTGTAGTGCATATTTGAACGTCATGGTGAAGTAATTGGATTGGTTTACAATCTGAACTTTTAGGCGTTGACTGATGCCAATATTGTTGATGATAGTTATTAAGATTGATCCTTTCTTTCTCTGAGTCATATTCCTGTTAAGGGATGATGACTGACTGGCCTCTTGTTTTAATGGCAACAGGTCAACCAGCATCTCCTCAGAGAATATTGTGAATGAACTAAAAACTGAGACATCTGCAAGTGAGTCTGGATCCAGCATGAAGGTCAGTCAGTATATGTTGTTAGATCCAGAATCATTGCATAACAGCATTGTTTGGTTTCATTGAGGAAATATTATTAAGCTATATATAGTTAATTAACAAGAAAAAAGCAAATAATTTTCAAAGCATGCAACCAATTGGTAATCACAATTTTCTTCCAATGTCTTTCAGGGAAAGCTGAGTGGAGCAGAACTCAACAAAGATGGCAAATACACTGAAAGCTTTGAACGCTGGGTAACTAATGGGGAGATGCTTTTTGTCTAATAAGACTATTCATGAATAGTTTTGTGACATTTATCACCCCATCCGAAGGATTGTGGGTTCCTGACTTGCTGTACAGAAATAAATGGTAAGATATAATCCAAAAGCAAAAATAGCAAATGCAGCAGCTGAGGAGCTGATTTTTGGTTCAAGGGCATTTGAGTTAACAGATTATATTTGCCCTGCAAAGTTCTCTGTAGTCCATGGTAGCCATCATTTGGGAGGTAATGTTAGATGTCAATAGGTAAATTCATTTTTGTGCCTCCCCAACTAGTTACATTATTAAACATACCAAAATCATCAACCTTATATATCATTTTCATTGAGAAAACAAAAATATTTCATAGCTGGTACTCAGGTTATAACTGCTTTGACAGATCAATTATGCGCGCTTAAATCTTTTTTGGTTCCCTGGATACATGAGAGTTTCATTTTCAAGAATTGAAGATACCAATTATTCTGCAGCTGACTGACTGTGTTCAGTCATCTGGCATAGTCATTAACAAATTATTATTATTATTATTTGGTATAAATTTGAAAGTATTCTCATTCAACCTCTAATTATTTTATTTTTTTAAAAAAAACAAGAATTATGTTGTAGGAAAATAGTATCACTTTTCTACCGACAGAAAAACACATGGGTTCTATTTTTTTTTTATTTTCTCTCATCACTCTTTTTGTCTCCTCTCTATATTTGTGTGTATGAGAAAGGGTACTGTTTTCCTATAGCATAAGGAAAACAAACCTGTTTTCTTTTTTAAAACAAGTTTGAAATAGCTAAGCCAAATTAACTTGTTTTGGGGGGAAGTTTGAAACGATGAAAGTGCAAAGCTTTGCCATTGCTTTAGATTAACAATATTGTAGCTTATCGTGGTACGGTATCACATGCGATGTCCCATAAAGCAATAAACCAAATGGCAATGTAGTGTTTTAAAGTGTATTGTTTTTGTGTCTCTGAGTTGATCTTGAGTGATAATAGAAGTCTAATTGTACGTAACACCAGGAGTTTTCTATAGTTATAGCCCCAAGCAATTGTTGGAGACTTGAATGTATGGAAGATTCAAACTTGGTTTGAGTAGCCATGTGACCTTTAGGAACGTAATTTGGTCCTTCACATCATTAAGCATTCAAGCTATTGGAACCTTGAAAAATAGTAAGGGTTTTTTTTTTTTTTGTTACACAAGGTGTCTTATCACATGTATTTTTTATGAGAGGCAATCTTGTTTGGGATAGATCCAGGATTAAGGTTTTAAATCTTTTTTAAAGATGATACTGGGAATAATCGAACATATGTTTTCACTTCTATTTACTCAATTTTTATTCGTTAACTAAGCTATCATTATTTAATATAAGGGACTTGTTTAAGTATTGTAAAGGAAAGAGGAAGAGAACATGACATAGTTGAGACCATTATATTAAGAACATCTAGGTTCAGATGTCGGTAACAGTAGTCCATGAACTACTTGTTCATTCAAATTCAAATTAAATTCAATAGGTTAGAATAAGGTGGAAAAAAAAAAAGCTTCTGTATTAATTAAATCTGTGTACATACAAAAAAGTTTGGTATCGGATATTCAAAATTTCAAATCAACATGTAAATGTCATGCTTGAAGAAAAAAAAGACAATTTACGGTATCACGTGTAAGAATGAAGTAATTGATCTTCACGAAGAAATTTGTGTCAATATATACAGCTCATGTTAAAAAGGACATCTAAGTTATAAGAAAATTGTTAAAAGTAACTACAATAATGTTATTAAATTCAAATCGGTCATCGACTTGGTCGGTGTGTCGGGTAAATAAAGCACTAGTTCAATCAGTGGATTATTGGAAGAATCGCACGATCCGGAAAAATATATATAAATTTTAATTTATACTCAAAATTCATTAACAGTAACTTCTATATGTTGTCTAGCAAAATTTATAATTATGTCTATCCAAAATTGTCTTGCAACAAATATAAGGATTGATTTACGAAATAAGTCTTTGCCTGGAAGAGAATATTATTATCTTTAGTTAGCCTCCTCCTCAAATGATTAGTTTACTAGATTGAGATTTACTTGTTTTCATAACTATAGAAATTTTGCATCTTTGTAATTCATTTTTTCGGAATTAAGCACTCCCTAATTACGAGGAAAAAAAGGAATTATCCGGAGTCATTATTAAAAAAAATATATATTTTTTTTCAAATTTTAAATTAGCTCTCCCCAATGTGTTTTATACTTTCAAATTTCAATCCACCTTACGAGAAGTTTTTAAGTGCTCCGGGACCATTTTTTATTGGGTGGGACACAGTAATGGAATTAGGAGAGAGAAGAAAAAACAGAGAAGAGAGAAGAGAATATGAATATATTTTTTTTAATCATGTCATCTTCTTAATGGGAGGAGCACAAAGTCCTGGTGCACCGAAATTTTTTTTCCAACTTACATAGGGTTTTCAATTTCATTTTTCTTAACTTTTAAATATTTAATCGTGTTTTGTTTTTTGGTGAATGATGTGTATTTGTGGATTGAAAATAGTGTATGGTAACTTAGAGATTTTGCATTTGGTTGTTTCTTTAAAAACGATGCTGCTTCACTTTAATTTTTTTAAAAAAAAAATTGCAACAAAAATTGACCAGGATACTATATTTTTATAAAAATTGAGCATGTCAAACCGGTTCTCACCGGGTCGAATGCATGACCAATTCATTCACTAATTTGAACCACCGATTCGCTGATTTCCATCTTTATTTGCTTAAAGTATGAACTCGTTTGCCATTCACATCCCCGCACTAACTGACCATTGAAAAAATATTAATCGTAGGATTTCAAATGCTAAAGAAACATTTTTCCGTTATCCAAAAGGAAGATGGATTATAAAACTTATATGATGTAATTATAACCAAACGAACAAAAAAAGTGTCAATTTCAAAAAGGAGATAGTCTAGTGTCATAACAATTTTCAAGTAGCTTAATGCTTGATTTACGCAAAAGAAAATAATAATAAAAATGTTTTGTCATTGTTATCCAATCTATAAAACATATCTGCGTTGTTCAGAGTCTCGGACTTTATAACTACAAAATAATACTCACGAAGTAGTGAACCTACCGAAGTTGGACTATTAAATTCATCTTACCAATATTTTCCACTCTCAAGTTCATTTTTACTCGAAAGCCAAAATATCATATGCAACACTTTGATCACCTTGTTAGATATAATTGTACATTTAACCTTATTATACATAAAAGAAATTCAGTCATATTATCACGAGACATTTAACAAATAAACGAAATCTAAGATCAAATTATAGGGTATTAGTAAACAGAAAAAGGGATTAAAAAATAAAAGGCAAAAGATTCATGACAGAATAAAGATGTAATAAAATTTGACCGAATATATTATGTCGTTAACAATATTGCTGCCACTCATACCAAAAAAGTAAACAACGAAGTTCCTTAACTACCAAAAAAACTCATACTTCGGGGAGAAGGGAAAAGAGTAAAATAAATAGCTGAAGGAAAGCACTAAGTTCATTCCCACCCAGTTGGGTGCACAGTCTCCTCTCCAATAACAACAGGAATTTGTTGTGGAGTGGCTACTGAGTCACCCCAGTCTCCTCCTGCTGCAACTGCAACTGCACCTGCAAGAGAAAATCACGTTAAACAAAACATAAACACATAATTCTAAGAAAAAAATGAGAATTGAATTATCAAATTGTGACCCTTCGACTTTTCTTTTTCTCTTTTTAATAAATGTGGAGACCAACACTAGATGAGTCACAACACAAGAATTCAATTTTCATGCAACTTTAGAAAATCAAAGCCCTAATTCTAAACAAAATTAACTAAAATCTGCAAAAAGTGAAAACACATGCAGCATTGATAAGGTCACCGCTTAAATTTTGTAAAGACAATTTTCACAAACAAATATTAAAAAAATGATGCTAATACAATCAATTTAACTACCAACCCTCAATCAAATTGGAAGGTCAGGAAAGATACCGAATGATATATTAAAGATAGCACAATCTTTAAAAAGAAAAAAATAATCAGATACCAGTTTCTGGGGCTGCCCAGTTGACACCAGGAGCTGCTGCAATAGGTTGTGCAACTGTATCAGTCCATGACTGATCAATTGCAGCAGGCCACTGTCCATCAGCAGTAAGAGCGCCTGCATTGAAGTCGGTGATGGGATAATCACCTGCAGGAGCTTCATCCTGCTCTTGTGCCTTGGGTTCCTCTGGGTCCCTATGGAAGAATAAATCCACCTGCATTAAAGTAAACTATTAGTTAAGCAACTTGAGTGAAAGCCACCCAATATGTTGGCTCTTCCAAAATTCAAACCCTCTGGATCTTACACTAGGGAAAGGGTGCAATGTGTTCGCAATTCAAATATCAGATATCTAATAGAAGACTGCATATACTATGTCTAACAAATAATATTCAAATTGAAAATCACAATACCAGCAAGACATATTTTTTATCACATCCCACTTAAGAAGTGGGCAAATTTATAAGTAAAATCTAGTACTTATCATATAATCATTTTGTAAAACAATGCTGTCAATGGCCTATTACACTCTGTTTAGATCGTGGATTCAAAAATTTCAAGTAATTTACAAAATGCAGCAAATTAATTCCCTTCAATTTCAAAACATGTAGTTTGGGCAATGGAAATCAATTAAAATTTTGTAGCAGAATTCGATGAAACCAAAGCAACGATTATATAAGTGGAAAACAGCATTTATAACATAATATTGATTATTGAACAGATAATGTCCCTGCTCCACCTATATCATATTTATAGATGCAAACATAAAACAATATTCTAATTATTCACACTACAGATACAGAAACAAGCCTCAGATTTATAAATGTAGCTGCTCCATGTGACAGAAGCGGGGGCAATTTAATATCACATTAAAGATATTTTAGTAGAGAGAAAATATGTGAAGTACAACTGGAGGAGCATAAGATCTCCATCCACTTCAAGATGCAACAAGGAAAATTAAAAAAAAAACAAAAATGTTGTAAGAAATAATAATTCAACTCGAGAATCACAATAGCAGCAAGATAAATTTTTACCATCACATCCCACTTAAGACCAGGGCGAATAGTACCACGCATCTGTAACACCATCCTTGCCAGAAGCCAAAAGAGACAACCAATGCTGTGTTTCCCCTTGTTATTGGCTGGAATTCCAATGTCAACATGCCTCATAGGAGAATCAGTGTCACAGAAAGCAATGGTTGGAATATTTCCAAGAGCAGCTTCCTTAATAGGCTGCACATAAACAATACAAACAAAGTAATATAAATCACATTAATAAAGTAATAACTCTATAAAGAAAAGCTAAAATAAAAAAAGCTATTATTAACCTGATGATCAGTTCTTGGATCTGTTAGAATAAGAAGACGAGGCTCACTGAATGAAGTTTGCATTTGATTCGTGAATGTGCCAGGAGTGTGCCTCCCAGCAATTGCATGAGCGCCAGTGTACTGAGCAAACTTAAGAACCGCTCTCTGTCCATAAGGCCTAGCAGACTGGACAATTATGTCCTGAGGGTTCTCAATGGCAACAATAACCCTGGCAGCTAATTGAAGCTTCTCCCAAGTCTTACCAAGATTTATGATATAAATACCTAAACAAAGTCAACACAACCAATAAAATTCCCATTTTTTAATCAAGACAAGACAAAAAAGAGTACAACCACGTATATTACAGAACACAATAGTTATCAACTGCAGGTAGCCGGTAGCGACCAACGCAGAGTCCTATGCATGTACCAGTTATATAGATCTATACCACACATATAACAACTTCATGATACAGACAAAAAAAACATCTTATAAAAAAACACCATCAAAAGTATAAAATACAGATACAAAATTTTTTATCAATGAAGTGAATGTTAGAGTGAGTGAATTAATAATTTGAAGGCTGTTTATGATTTTTTTTAATACTAACAAAAACAGAGATGAACAAAAAAACAAAGGTGTTTCTGCCTTTGTTGTTAAGATTAGTAAAAGGTTAAACTGTAACAATAACAAAAATGAAATAGAAGCACAGAACAGAAGTTTCGTCGCAGGTCGCTGATCTTCGCAGGTTGTTCGGATACTTTAAGGGTCAAAAGACAAAAAAGACCCTCAAAAAAACGATATACAGAACGTGCAAAAAAAAAATAGATGCGAGGTTGTTCCAAATGTTGTGATTCTACATTGAAAGGTTAATGTTTGAAGTTTTTAACATGTAGTTGGTGTAACCCAATTGCAAAGATCGTAACTTTTTCAACCAGAAAAGAAGAATAAGAAGAAGATGTTACCATCGTTGCGGCGCTTGAAGATGTAACGTTCCATCTGAAAGTCGCAGTTTTTGGTACCGAGATGGACATCCGCCGCCAACATCAACTGGATGTCGGCTTCCTTCTGTGATAGCTCGCGCGGCGGGGCTGCGGCGGAATTGGTGGCGGCGGCCATGTTTGCTATCGGAATAGGATTTGCACTCTGAAAAACAAATTTCTCAAAGAGAGAGAAAGACAAGGGAAGCTCTGAGTGCTGTGAGGGACTTTTGAGAGTGTTTCAAGCTGCGCTGCGATTTTGTAATACAGAAAACCCTAGTTTCCGTATGAAATGACTTAATTACCCTTTTTCTGGGCTTTCTTTGGGCTGCATCCATTTATAAGTTTTATGGGTTTAAGTTGTAAAGCCCATGACGCATATATCCATCCACACTTACTGATTTGACCGAAAAATAATTTGCAAGACTTTTTTTTTTTCTTCATCTTTTTATGGGATTATCATTTCTGTTTCAGTAGGAAAAAAAAATTTGTCACTACGACATAAAACAATGATGGAGCCCGTTCCTTTTATGTTTTAGTAGAAAAAAAAAATCTGCTACTAGAGCAAAAATGATAATTCCTTTTTTTGATACAATGAAATAAACTTTGCAAGAGTTTCTACTCAAAAAAGAAACAACGTTCACATTGGTTTTTTTTTTTTTTTTTTTGAATTCTGACCCTTGTGCCTGGAAGTGCATGCCACACCACTAACCCACCAACCATTTTCAGTTAAATTTTATATCACTATACTGAAAAAATATTTGTTCTTTTAGAGGACATAAAATTATACTATTTTAAGTGAGAAAAAGACACATTTTAATATTTTTTATTGAAATTTTAAATTTAAAAAAAAATACTCATTTTTTCTCTCATGATGCCTGTTTGAATACTTTCTTTTTTAAGCTAGAAGTTACTTATAAGCATAAGATATGCCAAACAGATTTTGAGAAAAGCTCATATAATAAAAAACTCTTATTTTATATAATGAAGAAAAAAGCTAAAAATTAAAAACGGAGCTTTTTTTTAAGCTCTTATTTGTTTTTCTTAAATTTTGTGTTTTTTTTAAACGAAGAGTTATAGAGATAGAGATAATTTTCTTGAAATATGTGTTTTTAAGTAACTTTTAAGCCAAATTGTTTATGTAATTATCAAATAGTTTTAGCTTTTCTTTTTAAGCTCTTTTTTTAGATTTAACTTATAAGTAACTTCTAGCTTAAAAAAGAAATGATCCAAACAAGTTCTTAAAATCACATAACTTTATATCTTTTAAAATGACAAACAATAAACTTTTACTATATATATTATGAGTAAAGCCAATTTTGGATCGCTAACAAAAAAAGAGAGTCTACACTCTCGTCCCTTACAAAAAAAAATCCTTATATTAGTCCTTTTTTATGAATTAAATTGAATCTTCTTTGAATTTCTGACAACCTAGGTTGGAATAGGTTGTGGAAATGTATCAGTCCATGGTTGATCAATTGCAGCAGGCCACTGTCGATCAGCAGTAATAGGGCCTGCATTGAAGTCTGTAATGGCAGCATAATCACCTGCTGGAGCTTCATCCTCCTCTTGTGCCTTTGATTCCTCTGGGTCCCTATGGAAGAATAAATCCACCTGCATTAAAGTAAACTATTAGCTAAGCAACTTGAGTGAAAGCCTTGTTGAATATGCAAATCAAGTAGTGTTAGCGAACATAACCTAGTCAAACCATCACTTATTAATCTTTGGACAAGCTCAAAAAGAAAAACTTTATTTCCTTCAGAAACTTGCATACCCTACGGAACTTCAAACTTTACAGTTTCAACATATTCGAAGGTGATAACATGCAAAGTGCTTTGAGTAATATTATATAGTAAGTTGATAACTCTTTTCAAAAAGTGACCAGCACAATATCTTAGGCTCTTTGACCTTTATTTAATAATTAATTACCAAACATGCAAAGTGCTTTGAGTAATATTAATGAAAGCTGATTGCGTTTTATTGAGAGTTGCCATTTTACGAGTTGGTTACAGATTGTCACCAATTCAAATTTATTTGTAATTTGTAATTCCGAGCCTATTTATAAGCAATATATTAAATACAATATGTAATCAACACGTAAAATGGCAACTCCTAATAAAACGCAATCAACTCCTATTAAATACAAAATGCAATCAGCTCCTATTAAATACAAAATGCAATCTACTCTTATTAAATACAAATCGCAATCAACTCTTATTAACTTGCTGATTTGCTTCATATGCATGGAATCTGCTTTTGTTTATGGAGGAGATTTGACATTTACTACCTGTGGAGAGATTTAATCGATTAAATCTTCAAGTCAACCATTTTTGCCAGTTTTGACCATTTAATTTAATCGATTAAAGAGGGGCAGATTGGTAGATAGTTTCGAATAAGGGGGAAAATAGTTATTAATTAATTAATGAAGGGTAAAAGGGTCAAAAAGCCTTTGTTTTCCCTTAATTAAAAACACTTTGTCTCCTCTTTGTGTGTTTTTTTAATAAAATAAAAACAACTAAAACAAAAAACTGTTTTTAATTTTTTTTTTACAAAACATTAAGTGTGTGCATGACAACCATCTTATTCCCTGGCACTGTTTCTGAAAAGAAACAATTCTTTTCTATTTATGTGCCTTGGAACAGTTTATGAGAAAAAAAATATGTTTGATAACATGTTTTATTTTTATTCCAAGAATGAGAATTGTGTTTGATAACATAACAAATAATATAATAAAAAATATTCCTATGAAGCATAATTTTTTTTCGGATAATCACTTTCCTTTTCATATGGTGCGGTGGTGGTGGTGGTGGTGGTGGTGGTGGCGGCAGCGGCGATGGTAATGGTGGTGGTTGTAGTAGTGGCGTCGTGGTGGTGGTGGTAGAGGTGATAGTATGGTGGTGGCAGTAGTGGGTAGCAATGGCGATGACATGGTAGTGGCGGTGGTGGTAGTGGCTATAGCGATGGTGGTAGTAGTGATAACGGTGGTGATGGTGATGGTAGTGGTGGTGGTGGTGGTGGTGATGGTGGCAGTGGTGATAGTAGTGGCCGCAGAGATGGTGGTGATAATGGTGGCAAGGGTGGTGGTGATGGTGATGACATGGTGGTGGCGGTGGTGTAGTGGTGGTAACAGTGGCATAGTGGCGACGACAGTGGTGGTGGTGATGGCAGTCACTGCGACAATGGTGATGATGATCACATGACAGTGGCAGCGGTGACAGCAGTGGCTGCGACGATGGTGATCATGATGACATGTGGCGGTGATGGCGGTGGTGTAGTGGTGGCGGTAATGGCGATAACGGTAGTGGTGGTGGCGTTGTGGTGATGGTGGTGGTGGTGGTTGGTGATGGTGGATGAGACGTAGAGGTGGCGGTGGTGACAACAGTGGCCGAAGCGATAGTGGTGATGATGGTGATGACATAACGATGGTGTAGTGGTGGTAACGGTGGCATAGTGGCGGCGGCAACGACGGTAGTGGTGGTGACAGTAGTGGCTGCGACGATGGTGATGATGATGACATGGTGGTGGCGGTGGCGACGATGGTAGTGGTGGTGGTGACAGCAGTGATTGCGATGACTTGGTGGCGGTGATGGCGGTGGTGTAGTGGTGGCGGCGGTGGTGATGACGGTAGTAGTGGTGGCGGCAATGGCTACAATGTTGGTGGTGATGGTAGTGATAATGGTGGTGATGGTGATGGTAGTGGCGGCGGTGGTGGTGATGACGTGGAGGTGGTGGTGGTGGTACGACGATGGTGGCAGTGGTCGTGTCGGGATGATGGTGGTGGTGGTGATGATGGTAGTGGTGGAGAGTAATTGAGAGAGATAAGTGTTTCTCATTTTGTGCTCGGGAACAAAAAAGCAGAAATTTTTTTATTCTTTTTTCTGTTCCCCAGCACAAAAATTAAACTGGTTCATCCCGGGAACAAAAAAATAAACCGATTTTACCAAACGAGTTTTCTATCCATTTCTGTTCCCGAGAGCAGAAATTAAAAAAAAAAAGATTATGGGAAGGTTGTCATGCACACCCTAAGTATCAATTTTTTTTTTTGCTTCTAAATTGAAAAAAAAATTTACAAAATGGAAATCAAACAGGCCGAATTTTTATTTTATTTTATTTATTTCTAACACTTGTGACTGGATGTGCATGCCACCACTAAGGTACCAACCATTTACAGTTAAATTTTATATAACTATATTTTATCAAAAAATAATTTATATAACTATACATATTATCGTTGACGACAAAATAACTTGCACATATTAGCACAAGCATTCCATCAGTAACTATCACTTAGAAATTCTTAAATTATTTTTCCAAAAATTATAAAACAATTTTTAGTTTTTATCATTGTCTTAATTTTTCACTTGTTTAATAATGTTATGGACCACTTAAGTGATTCTCACTTCATATCCCCATTACATGGAGTATCTCACTCCATCACTCTCCTAACTTACATCCACTACAAATAATCACCACTAGGTATTGCATCATACCATTAAGTCATATAACTTATCCGAGTATTTATAAGATTTGCCACCATGACAACAACCTTCACATTTGTTCACAGCGCATCCTATCCACTAAGGAGGTGACTCTCACACACACACCAATTGTTAAAATCATTGGACTTTGACCTAAGGTGCAGGACTTTTCATTGTTTGTTATCTTTACCATAAGCTCCGTAGATACAAATATTAGCTATCCTACAAGACATAAATGTTCGTTCCCGAACAAATAATATAATCATATTTAGGGTAAATTAATTAGGCTAAATCAGACTTTAACCTAAGTAAGTTAGGTATGAGGTATGAGTAAATTATTTTAAAGTCTTCCTTCGTTTGTTAACATAATACAAGTCAACTTATAAGTTTAGTCCGAGTTGTTTTTAAAAATAAAAGCTTTGGAACGAGTTTACTCAGCCTTCAAAAATACTATATTTCACTCTGTAAATTATAAGTTATAATTACTTTGTATGATAACTGAACACAATTCAAAGTATTGACAATTTAACTATATTGTTGGAAATAAAGCACGTATATATATATGTGTGTGTGCGTGTGGGGGGGTTCGTATTTTCTATAGTCAATGTAGATAAATTATTTACATTGAACCCAAAACGATGTTGTTTTGGGGCAGAAATAATGGTATTTTTATAATTATAATTTACTTAAGGATTGTAATAGTCTTTTTCATTATGATTTTTTAATCTTTCAACCCAAAACGACGTCGTT